TTTCAAAGAGACTGAGCACTCACCAAGGAGAAATTGTGAAGTTCCTTGAGTTCTGTAATAGGAAAAAGATGATGTTTGCTATCCACCTTTCATACTGTTTCGTAAGTATTAGTTTGCTTAGTGTTGAGTTTAGCATATTGCTAGGTAGTTTGAAATGGGAAGGAGGGACAAGGGAATTGAAGATTGATTATCATGAAAAAAAGCACAGCAGTATTTCCCCTAAGGTCCAGCTTTGTCTGGGAAATGGTATTAGTTTCTCTCCTAATAGACAATTATATGTAGAAGGAAAAGATTAAGCATTAATGCAGTGTCACTTCATGATGATTCCCACAAATCAGGTTTTCTCTGCACTGAACATGGAAAGAGAAATTTTTTTTGGAACGGAATTTCACTCATTTGCCCAGGCGGGAGTGAAGTGGTGTGATCTTGGCTCACTGCAACTGCTGCGTCATGGTTCAAGTGATTCTTCTGCCTCAGCCTCCCGAGTAGCTGGGATTACAGGCGCCAGCCACCACACCCGGCTGATTTTTGTGTTTTTAGTATAGATGGGATTTCACCACATTGGCCAGGCTGGTCTTGAACTCCTGACCTCAAGTCATCCACCCGCTTCAGCCTCCCAAAGTAGTGGGATTACAGATATGAGCCACCATGCCCAGTAAAATGCAAGAACGTTTAAAAAGAGCCCAGCAATATACTTTACTAATAGTGATAAAACATTTGTCAGCAATTTTAAGTTCAGATCCTTATAGGCCTGTATGTTATTTTGTACTTTTATTCCTAAGCTATCACTTTGAATGAAAGGACACTGGATGTATTCAGCTCATCTTTCATTTTACAACTAGATGTCAGTGTTACCATACCTGATTAAATGTCTCAGGTGTGGTTATAATGAGTAATTCAGTAGTTGCTCATCTATATGAGATATAGATTAGAAAATAAATAATAATAAAGGAACAGAATTTTTAAAAACTTCTTTCCTTATTTCAAAGTGGACTGGTTATGCCTTAATTTTCTTTCTCAAAGTCCTCCTCAAAACTCCAAACTGCATTATATTATCCAACATAACATCTTTACATTTACATTTTTTACATTTGCATTTATGTTTTGTAAATATTGATTTTTTTCCCCCACATTAATAACTATACAAGAACAGTTAAATTTTTTGATTTATTTGGTTAGGAAAGTCAAGAAGAGTGTCAACTTGTAAACCTTTTCACTACTACCAGCAAAAAGTTCTTCCCTACAGCTTTTCCAGAAAGAATCATCAGAAAAAGAAAGCAAGGTATTGCTCTTCAAATGTGTGTGTGTGTGTGTGTGTGTGTGTGTGTGTGTGTGTGTGTGTGTTGTCTACTTTGATATGGAGCATATTGAGAGCAATAATTATGTATATATTTTTCAGTGACATCTCTTACATCTCACCTAGAAGACTCTCTTGAAATAACTAAATCTACCTTTTAAATTTAGTCCTCATATAAATGAAGGTGTGATGTTCTTATGCATTCCTTACAGAGCCAATCTAACAGTCTTTTAAAATAATTTGCATTGTGTTTCTCAGCCAAGCGTGGTGGCTCACGCCTGTAATCCCAGCACTTTAGGAGGCCAAGGTAGGCAGATCACTTGAGGTCAGGAGTTCAAGACCAGCCTGGCCAACGTGGTGAAACCCTTTCTCTACTAAAAATACAGAAATTAGCTGTATGTGGTGGCAAGTGCCTGTAGTTTCAGTTACTCAGGAGACTGAGGCAGCAGAATTGAATTGCTTGAACCTAGGAGGCAAAGGTTGCAAGTGAGCCGCCGCACTCCATCCTGGGCAACAGAGTGAGATGCTATCTCAAAAATTGTGTTTCTCTAAGTAGGATATCTCACTTTTTTAGAAAAAAACATCAGGCTTCCTTTTAATAAATATGAAACCCTAAAGAGTAACTGAAATACCATGAATAAAATCTAGGCAAAGTAATATGTCAAAGTACTGAAAACACATCCTGTTCCTCTATTTCAACCAAAAGATACTGATGAATCCCTTTCCCAAATTCTCTCTCGTTTTTGAAAATCAGTGCTTATGGATCACTCAAGGGATGGAGCTCACATAGGCAAAATTCTATAGAATTATATTCACTTTGACATTTTTAGTTACACATTTTCAAAATCTACGTATGTAACTTAAAGGTAAAGAATTTTGGGCCAAGCGCAGTGGTTCACGCCTGTAATCCCAGCACTTTGGGAGGCCGAGGCGGGCGGATCACGAGGTCAAGAGATCAAGACCATCCTGGCCAACATGGTGAAACCCCGTCTCTACTAAAAATACAAAAAAATTGCCTGGCAGGGTGGCATGCACCTGTAGTCCCAGCTACTCGGGAGGCTGAGGCAGGAGAATTGCTTGAACCCAGGAGGCGGAGATTGCAGTGAGCCGAGATTGCACACTGCACTCCAGCCTGGCGCCTGCGACAGAACAAGACTCTGTCTCAAAAAAAAAAAAAAAAAAGAATTTTGGAGATTATAAACTGTGTACTAAGAAATATCAAGACAACTTGTGTTTGGAGTTCAAGTGAAGATTTTGACAGAATTGACAGGTTTGCTTTTTAAAACTTACCTATAAATTGGTCTTGGTGTGGTGGCTATTGCCTGCAATCCCAGCACTTTGGGAGGCTGAGGCAGGCGGATCACAAGGTCAGGAGATCGACACTATCCTGACCAACGTGGTGAAACCTTGTTTCTACTAAAATTCAAAAAATTAGCCTGGTGTGGTGGTCTGCATCTGTAGTCCCAGCTATGTGGGAGGCTGAGACAGGAGAATCGCCTGAACCCAGGTAGTGGAGATTGCGGTGAGCCGAGATTGCACCACTGCACTCCAGCCTGGTGATAGAGCAGGACTTGGTCTCAAAAAACAACAACAACAACAAAAATAACAAAAGCTTATGTGTAAGTTTAACCTTTTCCTTAGAAACAATAACCAGCCCCCATTCTATTTTTGAAAAGGCAAGTTGAATTAGTGTCAGTAACATCCATCTCTCTTAATGGAAATAACTTTTTAAGTTGTGCAGTAAGTCACTCCTAATTTTATAACAGTCTAAAATTTGTTCATCAATCCTCGCGAACAGTGCATTTACTTATTGGCTTTAAAAATCTATTCTTTCCTGAGAAAGAACTTTCAGTTCATCAGGTTTTGGATTACCACATTAAATACTCATTTGTCAGTTGATTTTGTCATTTTTTGTGACTTCCATGCATATAACACAAGGACGTAAAATTAATTATTGATTATAGTACAGAGTCAGCACATCACTGTAGATTTTCACTCAGGCTGAAGAAAAGATAAAACTCCTATTAACCAACCTCAGGTTATCCCAGTTTGCTTCATGTATAGTAGAAATACAAGCAAGCTACATCTTGCTGATTACAACATATCTTATTTAACAAAACAGTAAAATAGTACAATGAAGTATTTAATTCTCAGCTCTCTTACAATGATTAGTAGTAGCTTAATTCTTGAGTTGAATTCTGATAGTTTTGTGGTTTTACAAATTGGTCCTTATACACTAATATTTTCTTTTGTTTAGAAGCCTTCTTAATTTATGTTTCAAGATTCAGTGACTTTGACAGACATAATTTATAACCTTAAATTTATTTTATACTAAGGCCGGTAACTAGTTACTGCACTTACAAGCAGAAGCGGCAGCTACCTATGGCATTCCTAAGTAGACTAACAAGCTTGCAGCACACAGGGGATCTAACTTTTCAGCAAGATACCTGGGGGATAACTGGTCCTAGCTGAGTGTCTAGAGCCTCGCAGGCACTTGGTATAAATAATTGGGAGACATTTGTGCCTTTGTTATCTCCCTGGCCTCATTTCTTCCAGGCCTCAGTGGAAGGTTATGATTGTTTTCTGAGTCTGTGTGAGCCTTTCTCCTTGCCCTATATCCTGTGGTCTGCTTTTATTTCCGGGTGCCTGCTGCATGAGTCCTAGCTCCTCACACCATTTTTTTTTCCTTCTTTTGATATTTGGACTAAGCTAAGAAGCTAACTATTAATCAGCAAATGGTATTAAAGAAATGGCTACTTGGAGCTACTATATAATATTGTAATGTTTTCACTGATAATTTTCTTAAGTCTCAAATACTTTTATTTTTAAAACTTAACACTTTCTCCTGACTTGAGTCAGGGCATACATATAACTGCTTTTTTACGTGTTTGAGGAAAGAGGGTGGTCATTGTGAAATATACCTACAGCTACAATTGTAGAGTTCCAGTTTTGACTAACATTAAAGAATATGCTGGATTTCTCTGAATCTGAAAACATTTTGCAAATGCTTTTCTTCAGCAGCAAGACAAGATGACAGTGAAGGCATTCCTTTGTAATTATTTCCTTATTCTTCTTATATTCTCTCCTGGTCTGTCAACATTTAAAATGCTGGTCTATGAACTATTTACATTTGGATGCCAATTAATTGTTCATCTCATTTAAAAACTTATCTAAGCTTTAATTGGGTGAGTTTTGTCAAATGTGAATTATATCTCAATAAAGCTAGTATTTAAAAAAGCTTACCTTAAAGCATTTTCAAAGGTACTGTGAAGCAGCTTTGTGTTAATGTGAGAGGGTGCAGAACAAATGATTATTTATTTATGTAAAGTTCCAAATCACATGGCTTTTAGAATACTTCACTTTTCAATTTTTGGTTTGTTTTAACTTATGAAAACTTTCTATTTGACTTATATGGGTGTATCTTCATGAGGGAGGAAAGCAAATACAAGAGGTAAGCACTAAAATATTTAAATCTTATCTTTAGCATTGGAATGCTGTTTAGAGAGATGAACCAGAAGTCCATGTTCAAATATTTCACTTCATGCCTGGCTTCCCGAGGCCTGACCTTTCACTGGCAGTCTGAGATCAGGCTAATAAGTGAGGAAGTAAGGAAATGTATCACTAAATTCTGCTTTTTTGATTTCTTTCTATAATGAACTTTTTAAGGACTTGACTTTTCAAGGTATTCCATTTATCATTACAGAAAGCTGTATACCTGCACAAGTGGTGGCTGCCATTGATGTCAACACTGTTGCTAACGAAGTATACAGGTATAATTTTCCATACACACAGTTACTTGCCAAGACAATTGAGGTGAGTAATTGTTATTGTTTTAATAAGTATGTAGCAAGGGAAATTGAAAAACACTGACAAATACTGGTTTCTGGTGGCTTAATTGGAAGATAAGTCACATATAAATTTAAGAGTTCAGGAAAAGGGAATGAACATTTTATGTCCTTTCAAAAGATATCCTCCTTTAAAAAAAAATCCAGCTTTAGAGAGGGAGATCAATATTTTGGTATCTCAGAAATAATTAGAGTGCAAGGATAAGTTTGACTTCTAAATGCTTCGTTCTGTGGTGTTAAACTTCAAAAAAGTACTTACTTTTATTAAATACTTGTATTCTATATATAGCATGCAGTATGAACAAGGGAGAAAATCATTGCTATTACTGAATGCGTCATATTTTAGCAAACCTGTCAAGGTTAACCTTTTTCTCATGTGATGACTTCAGCACAAGTATTGAAACACTAATGTATGTTGAGTTATTTTAAAAATAATGTGAAATAGGCCAGGTGCGGTGGTGCATGCCTGTAATCCCAGCACTTTGGAACGCCCAGGCAGGTGGATTACAAGGCCAGGAGTTCAAGACCAGCCTGGCTAATATGGTAAAACCCCATCTCTACTAAAAATACAAAAAAATTAGCTGGGTGTGGTGACACATACCTGTAATTCTAACTACTAGGGAGGCTGAGGCAGGAGAATTGCTTGAACCTGGGAGGCAGAGGTTGCAGTGAGCCAAGATCATGCCACTGCACTCTACCCTGGGTGACAGAGTGAGACTCCATCCAAAAAAAAAAAAAAAAAAATGAAATTGTGTTTTTCTTCTAATTTGCCATGAAAAATTTTACAAACAAATTTCTTATGAAGTCATAATTTACATGCAATAAACATGTCATTTATTGTATGTAATTTTAAGTGGGCAGTTTTTGACTCAGTCATCAACTGTGTAACTACCGCCCTCACAATCAAGAGTAGAACATTTCTGTCATGCTAAATTGTTCTTAGTGCCCCATTTCTGTCAGTCTCCAATCCCAACCCAGGTCACAATGGATCTACATTCTTTTCATTATATATTAAATTTTCTCTTTCTAGTATATCACAAAATCATAGAGTGTAATTCTTTTGAGTGGTACTGCTCTTGTTTAATGTTGATGTTTTTGGAATTCATCATGTTTTGTTGTATATCAGTAGTTTGCTCTTTTTTATTGTTGAGTAATATTTCGTACAGTAGAATATCATATACTACAATATGTGTATAGATAATCACATTGTTATAGACATTTAAGTCATTTCTAGTTTTTTACTATTACAAGTAAAGTTGCAGTGAACATTACTGTATTCCTTTGTTCATTTCTTGTGGATAATACCTAAATTTATTAAACTTACGAGAAAATACCAGATTTTCTGTTTTTTTGAATTGTTTTTACCATTTTACATTCTCACTATTAATGTTTAACTGACAAATTTCACATCCTTGCCAACACTTGATATTGCTGTTCTTTTAAATTTTAGCCATTTTAGTGAGCATGTAGTGGTATTGTGGTTTTTTATTTGCTTTTGCCTGATGACTAATGAGATTTAGTATCTTTTAATGTGCTTATTGGCCATTTATATATCTTCTCTGTCAATACATTTCTTCCCCAATTTTTGTTATTTGGGTGTTTGTATTACTATTATTTAATTGTAAGAGTGGCTTATCTTTTCTGGATTTCAGTTGTCAGAAATATGCATAACAAATCTCTTCTCCAATTCCCTAGCTTATCTTTTTCTTTCCTTAAATATGTCTGTCAAAATACAGATGTTATCTTTTTTTTTCCTTGTAGATGACAATTTTTTTGTGTCCTAAGGAATCTCTGCTTACTCAGTTTTTCTCCTGTTTTCTGAAATTTTATAGTTTTAGTTTTTACATTTAGGTCTTTGAACATTTAAGGTTACTTTTTGTGTAGATTGTGAGATATGGGTCAAGATTTATTTCTTTTCTTACAAGGAGACATAAAGTTGTCCCAGAGCCATTTACTGAAAAGCATCCTTTTCCTAATCAATTTCTTTGATGCCTTTATTTTAAAAATCATGTATGTATGGTTCACTAATATTTTCTTTAAGACAATTAGTCATAATATTTATTCAGTGTAAACTGAAATGTCTTTTTAAATATCTGCATATCTATATCTATCTTTGTTTTATTTTCTTATTAGATTCTCTAGGGTTTACAGTATGCATCTATTACTTGTGGAAGCCCACCTTCAAATAGCATTATACCACTTTATGTTTAAGTTTTAACAGTATACCTCCAATTTCCCCTACTGGTCTATTTTGTTATTTTGTCTTGCATCTTACTACTGCAAATGTTATGTACACCAACATACATTGTTACTATTTTTAGATTAAGTAGTCAAATATCTATTAAAGAACTTTTAAAAAGCACAAAAAGTCTTTTATATTTATCTCTATATCTACAGTTTTCAGCACTTTTTATTCTTGTTTTTTGATCAAAGTTTGCATGTCATATAATTTTTCTTCTTGAAAAACCTTTAGTGTCTCTTGTCATGTATATGTGGAAAGGGAAAATTACCTTGGTGCTTTTGATTTAAAAAGTATTTTATGTTGTCATCATTGTGAAATATAATTTTTACTGATTTTTTTTTCTTTTTTGGAGAGACAGGGTCTCACTATGTTGCCCAAGCTGGTCTCAAACTCTTGGGCTTAACTGATTCTCCCACCTCAGCTTCTCAAAGTGCTGGGATTACAGGTATGAGCCACTGTGCCTGGCCTACTGAATCTTTGATTACATTCATTTTGAAAGATATTTTTAAAAAATCTGTTTGTTTTCTTTTAATGTTTTCCAGTGTTATCTAGATTGCTTAATTTCTGACTTAAAGTCTGTGATAATTTCTATTTTCATTCCTCTTAATATATCATGTCTTTTGCTATCTACATTTAAGATTTTATCTTTATCACATGTTTTCAAAAGTTTTATTTCTATGTGCTTTTTATGCTTTTCTTTATTTGTACTGCTTGGACCTTGTGGTGCTTTTCTTATTTATAATTTTCATCATATTTGGGGGTTTTGACCATCACTGCTTTAAAATAATCTCTTTCTCTCTTTCTCCAGTTACATATTGTAGAGTAAATAATAGTTGCTGAAGACAGAGTGATCCATGATAAATATCATTAATGCTTCTGAAGAAGAGAATGATTCCAGTGGAACAAAAACTGTTAACAAAAATAGATAAAAATTTTCCTAAAATGAAAGACGCAATGTAACATCCATGAGTCTTTCTGGAACGGATGACTCCATCACTTAATCTAGCTAAGTAAGAGATGAATCAAAGTAGAAAACCCAGGAACAAAGCTGCCGTGTTAGGAGAAAAACTGTAGTTAGAAAATAGGTGAAAATGTTGTAAAGCTTTGCAGTGTAGAAATAATAATGTAATTGGAGTGGGAAGAGGAAGTGAGACACACACAAAATATGTCTTTGGAGATAAATGAAACTATCAATTTTTTTTTTTTTTTGAGACGGAGTTTCGCTCTTGTTACCCAGGCTGGAGTGCAATGGCGCGATCTCGGCTCACCGCAACCTCAGCCTCCTGGGTTCAGGCAATTCTCCTGCCTCAGCCTCCTGAGCAGCTGGGATTACAGGCACGCGCCACCATGCCCAGCTAATTTTTTGTATTTTTAGTAGAGACGGGGTTTCACCATGTTGACCAGGATGGTCTCGATCTCTTGACCTCGTGATCCACCCGCCTCGGCCTCCCAAAGTGCTGGGATTACAGGCTTGAGCCACCGCGCCCGGCCCAACTATCAATTTTTTTAAGGACATTAATCAGTGTTATTTTCAGGGGATCAGCAGAGGTGGGAAAGAGAGCTCAGCCCTCAGAGATTCAATGTTAACAAAGTCTTGTTAAGGCAACAAGCCAAAAACAAAAGTTAGCCTTTACTCACTTACTGTGGTGTTACTGGCAAGAATCTAAGAGCAGAGGCAATGCCACTTGCCTGGTTCCATTTACCCATGGATTAGTGTAGGTGTCAGGGCCCTCTCGCTGTGGAGGGAATCCCTGGCCTTAAGGGGAGGGCAGGCAGGGAGGGCTAGGAGTGGAAAAGTGCTGGGGACTGAGTCAGAGTGGCATACTCTTCCAGCATTGTCAGTGTCTTCAGGGTTTCCTACGCCTCCCCACAAGGAGGCCTTGGCAGAGAAGCTCCGCTCAAGGTCTCAGATAAGGAGACCTTGGAATGAAGGCTCTGGAACAGAAATGCAAATATTCCAAAAGTATGACCGCTGGCCTCAGCGCCTGAGACTTTGACTGCAGCTCCCCTCAGACTGTGGTGCACCAGCTGTATACCGAGTCTGTTTGGGGAGGGGAGCCCCATTGAGGTCTCCTGTGGAAAGCCTTTGTAACTGCCTGTGGTTATGTGTGAAAAATCACACACAGGTTTCTAATCAAAAGCAGGACTCCACAGTTTATCAAGATAACTAGTAATAAAATTAAAATCAGCAAGTTGTCTAGGTAGCAATGGGAAATTTCTGGTCACTAGTATATAACTATATATACACTTCATGTGAGCAGAAACCTCATCTGGTTTGTTCCTTGTTATATTTCCAGACCTAGCACAATGCCCGGCATATAATAGATACTGTGAAATGTTTCTGAATTCATTTATGAACACTGTTTAATGAACAACATATTGTGCCCCCAAAATGGACAAAGAAATACCAGGCAAATGCTAATAAAGAATAACAGGGGTGTGAAAATTGATATTAGATAAGATGGATTTCAAGGCAAAAAGCGTTTAAGTCATAGAAAATTGTTTTATGATGATAGTTGGCACAATTCTCAAGAAAGGCCTAATTGTCTTGAGTACACGTGCATAAAATAACATCAGAGTTCACAGGGCAATAAATGATAGGAAATACCCACTCAAGTTTCTGTTAAATACCTAATATATGCTGCAAAGTAAGAAAACCATTGTCTTATGACTATGAACTCAGTAATTCTAAGTAAAATATGAACACTAGCTCTGAAGCACATTTG